AGTATACTTTCAGCTGAGTCCCTTCTGCCTTCCACAAGTTCCCACTGGCCTTAGAGAACTGGAATACTACTGGCATGAAATGTGTGAAGTGACATGCAAATTTACGGAAAGACAGGTCTCATTCTGCCAGTATAGAAAATCCTCTGCCCCGAGGCAGGTAAAATACACCAAGCAGGTTTCTTAATGCCTTAAATCATTATCTAATTGATCTTCCCAAGTACCTCAAAACTAGATTTGAACTGGTTCTCTAAAACGGGTGTTTTCCACGTTTCCAGTCCCTTGACTACCCAAATCTTCCATGGAAAAGCTAGAGCCTCAGAAATTTTTTGAGAAAGAAATATGCATTGCATTAATCCCCATATTTCATAATCACAGGGAGAGGGAGATGTTCACCAGGCAACACTGGTAAATCTTCCCTGGAATTTTAGTTCCTGTTTGAGACACTATATTTTAAGAAAAAACGTGGCCTATTCAGAGAGTCTTCAAAGGGAAATTAAAAAGAATGTTTAGAGGCAGAAAAAAGACCAGTGACGAAAGAATGGAAAAGTTTAAGTTACTTATCTCAAACAAGTCAATTAAAAGAGTTAAATGGTAAGTCCATTAAAAAAAGTCCATTAAAAACTCTGCATGAATAAAGGGGAACAATTCCTCATTTCCTCTTGTAAGACATAGGAGCCAACAAGTAAAACCACTTTGTAAATTCAAAATAAAAAGGAGACAAATTTTCCCAAAGCAGGTAGTCAATCTGTGGATCTTACTGCACCAGATGCTATGAATTAAACAAGAACAAAAATTATCTCAAAGAATATGTAGCACTTAATCCAGTAAGTCTTCTAGTATTTGTCAGAGAATAACCTGTTCTCTAAGTTCAGCAAATAATACAAGAACAGATATGTATTTCAGCACAAAAACCCAAACCAAAACAAAAAACCCCACCCCAACCCAAACCAACAGTTTTAGCTTAAAAAAAAAATCTTTTTTTAAAGTTTGAGAATAAGAATCATTGAGGTGGGTTGTCTGGGAAGATGAGAGACGTCTTTCAAAGTCAGGAGTGCTGCTACTACAAGAATAGCACATTTAGCCAGGTATTCACTGTATTAACTGGCCATTGGTCAGGCAAATTGTCCAATCTTCGGTGAATAAAGAGCTCCAGAGTTTTGTCTGACGTATTCAGGGACTGAAGAGAGGTTTAGGAAGACTCTGGCATCAGTAACACTTTGATAGAGCCTCGTACCCATCTCTAAAGAGACAGATAAACTACATTTGTGTCCTTTTGCTTATAATATACAAGGCAGTTTCCATCTTTTGTTCAATGAGCTACACATTCCTCTTCCAAATTAAAGATTTTTTTTTTTCAAAGATTCATGTCCTTTTAAAAAAAAAAATTTGCTACATATGAGACATGCTGTAAAATCATAGAACGGTTTGGGTTGGAAAGGATTGTAAAGATCGTCTCGTTCCAACCCCCCTGCCATGTCCAGAGACACCTCGCACTAGACCAGGTTGCTCAGAGCTCCTCCCAACCTGGACTTGAAATCTCAGCACCTAAAGTGTTTTTTAATAATTGTTGCATTGCAATTTAGCTAGCAAAAGCAGCAAAGAAACAGAAGTTTTGCCAGAAATAAAGAACACATGGCAAACTTTACTTTTACATTGTTTTAGTTTTTTTGTAGTCCCACCTGCTGGTTGTTTTTCTGCTCTAACGGGGAAGTTAAGACATGAGAATGGCTATGTTAACAAGTAATGTAGTGGATCAATGGCCCCATCTTTAGGGTGAAACAGTGCTGAGGAACTATCACCCATACCACGTGCAGCTCTGGGGAGTTAATTTGATTCCAGCTTTAATTTGCTGCCACAGACCAAATGCCCTTACACAGCTACAATGTATTTGATGTACTGCTACCTTACCCTTTCAGTTCAGCCCCATCCAAACGAAATATTCAGCTCATGCACTCTATTATTGCCCAATTATGTAAGCCAAAAAGAAACTGAGGTGACATCAGGAGATTCCACTCAAAAAGCATATTTCTGGTCTAAACTTAACATTAGTAGTATGTTTTCTGTTTCTGATTTCCTTCCTGGATCTTTGCTCTTTACTGCTATCCTGCCTCCAGAGCACTCTCAGAATCACAGAGTCATTAAGGTTGGAAAAGACCTCCAGGATCTTTGGAAAAGACCTCCAGCCTTTGACTGATCACCACCTTGCCAACTAGACCAGAGCACTAAGTGCCACATCCACTTGTTTTTGAACACCTCCAGGGATGGTGACTCCACCACCTCCCTGGGTAGCCCATTCCAATGCCTGACCACCCTTTCAGTGAAGAAATTCCTGATGTCCAAACTGAACCTCCCCTGGCACAGCTTGAGGCCATTTCCTGTTGTCCTATGACTTGCTACCTGGGAGAAGAGGCCAATCTCCACCTGGCTACAACCTCCTTTCACGTAGTTGTAGAGAGCAATAAGATCTCCCCTGAGCCTCCTTTTCTCCAGGATAAACACCACCAGCTCCCTCAGCTGCTCCTCACAGGACTTACTCTCCAGAGCTTTTCCCATCTCCATTGTCCTTCTCTGGACCCTCAATGTGAGGGGCCCAGAACTGAACACAGGATTCGAGGTGTGGCCTCACCAATGCCAAGTACAGGGGAACAATCCCTGTTCCAGTCCTGCAGATCACACTATTTCTGATACAGCCAGGTTGCCATTGGCCTTCTTGGCCACCTGGACACACTGCTGGCTCAATGTGCAGCACCCCCAGGTCCACTGGGCTGTTCCCGTTACAGTATTCCACTTGAACAAGGATGGATGAGGAAAAAACACACCTGTTTACAGTTTTCTTGGATACAATGAATACTAGCAGCAGTATGGACTGTTCCAAAGACAACTTCAAAACAAGCTAAAGAGAGGAAGTGCTGTGTCAGTGAGGCTAACTGCAGCAAGTTGGAGGACAGATAGCCTAAGATCTTCTGTACATTAATTTGCTATGCCCCACACTGCTGCATTCCAGTCATGTGGTTTATGTATCATATTCCAACCCATAAGATTATTTAGTCTTTTTGTAAGATTAGAAAGAAGGGAAAATAATCCGAGCAGATCTACTTTTTGGCTCAACACCTGGAGACTGCTTAACCAAAACACAAGGGTTCTTTTATGTTCCTGCTCCTGACCACTCCAGTGGCACAACTCGTGTCCCACAGGTTCTCACATATCCTGGTTCCGTACTCCCACCTGTAGGACCATGCCTGATCCAACTCCTGGCCCCGCTCCTTTGCTTTGTCCCGAGCTTCCATGGTACTATTTCCCAAACAAAGAGCTTTTTCAGGCATCAGAAAGTCAAAACCTGGCTACAGGAACCATATCAAATCCTATTTCTGATAACTAAATTCCATCTAATCTATTCATAATCCTTCAAACACTGTAAATATTTGTCTTTTGATTAAAAAGACAAAGCTAAAGCCACAGGGGGGGAGGGTTGCATTGAAACTCTTTGCAGGACTCTCCCACCAGGTGCCTGGGGATGCAAGTGTGCTCCAGGTCTCCCTTTTAAGGAGCCCTCATCCCCGAGGCTTCACCGGCTCCTTCCTCGGGGAAGGCAGAGCATCCCTGGGGTGCACCGGCTCCTTCCTCGGGGAAGGCAGAGCATCCCTGGGGTGCACCGGCTCCTTCCTCGGGGAAGGCAGAGCATCCCTGGGGTGCACCGGCTCCTTCCTCGGGGAAGGCAGAGCATCCCTGGGGTGCACCGGCTCCTTCCTCGGGGAAGGCAGAGCATCCCTGGGGTGCACCGGCTCCTTCCTCGGGGAAGGCAGAGCATCCCTAGGGTGCACCGGCTCCTTCCTCGGAAGGCTGGAGGCAGAGGTTGCAGCAGCGGAGCAGTCCCGAGGCTGCAGCAGCTCCTTCCTCGGGGAAGGCAGAGCAGTCCCGAGGCTGCAGCAGCTCCTTCCTCGGGGAAGGCAGAGCAGTCCCGAGGCTGCTCAGCGGCCGCAATCCGGCATGCGGGATGCGGTCCCGACAGCAGTTGGATTGACCGGGACGGCAACTCCCGAGCATCGATCACTCGGCACTCAAGCCCGCCGCCTACCCTGGGCGCCGCCGCAGCGCTACAGCGCGGGACCCATCGAGGAGTCGGCGCTCGATTGCCAGCGGCGTGTCCGAGGCCGCGGCCGCCATGTTGGAGCCTGGCAGGAGCGACCCCGGGGGCGTCCAAGAAGGGCAAGGGCAGGTCCTGCTCCTAGGGAGGGATAACCCCGAGTCTCAGCACAGCCTGGGGGCTGATCTGCTGGAGAGCAGCTCTGGCAGCCTCGGTGGATGACAAGTTGACAGTGACTCGCCAGAGTGCCCTTGATGCTAGGAGAGCCCATGGGATCCAGGGGTGCATTGGGAAGAGCACGGCCAGCAGGTCGAGGGAGGTGATCCTGCCCCTCTACTATGACCTGGTGAGGCACATCTGGAGTGCTGTGTGCGGGTCTGGGCTCCTCAGCGCAAGAGGGAAAAGGGGCTGCTGGAGAGGGTCCAGTGGAGTCCACGGCGATGATAAGAGGTCTGGAGCATCTCTCTAGTGAGGATGGATTGCGGGAGCTGGGCATGTTTAGTCCGGAGAAGACTGAGAGGGGATCGCATCAATGCACGTAGATATCTCAAAGGCAGGTGCCAAAACGACGCTGCCCAGCGACAGGACGAGAGAAGCCATGGCCATAAACTAAACCACAAGAAGTTCCACCCCAACGTGAGGAAGAGCAGCTTTCCACTGAAAGTGGCAGAGCCCTGGCACAGGCTGCCCGAGGGAGGGCGTGGAGTCTCCCTCTGTGGGGCCATTCCAAACCCCCTTGTTCCTGTGCCACTTGCTCGCGGTGACCCTGCCCTGGCGGCGGGGTCGGACGATCCCCAGAGGTCGCTGACGCCGCCACCATCCCGCTCCCGCTCCGTGGGCGGAGCGGCGGCTGGAGCGCCGCGCATGCGCAGCCGGGGCGCGCGGCGGTCCATGGCACAGGCGCGGTCGCGCCGTCCCTGCAGCCCGCGGGAGGAGGAGGAGGAGGAGGAGGGCGAGGGGGGGCGAGAAGATGCCGGGGAAGCTGAAGGTCAAGATCGTGGCAGGGCGCCATTTGCCGGTGATGGACCGCGCCAGCGACCTGACCGACGCCTTCGTGGAGGTTTGTGGCGGCGGAGGGGGAGGGCGGGCGCGCAGGGCCCGCGCGCTGGAGGCACCTGCCGGGCCCGCTCCGCGCCCCCGCTGTGCCGGGGAACCAGCGGCGGGACGGGAGGGCACAGCCTTGGCGTTGGACATCAGTAGGAATTTAGTCACGGAAGGGGGTGATTAGGCATTGGAATGGGCTGCCCGGGGAGGTGGTGGAGTCACGGTCCCTGGAGGTGTTCGGGGAAAGACTGGACGTGGCACCCGGTGCCACGGTCCTGGTGCCATGGTCTGCTGGTGTTCGGTCGTGGGTTGGACTCGGTGGTCCCAGAGATCTTCTCCAGCCTCGTTGATTCTGTGATTAGACAGATGCGTTGTAAGGAGGATGGAGAAGTAATAAAAGCATCTTTAAATCGTTTGTATCACTGAATATATGAGCGGTTGTAGAGACTTTGCTTTTAAGGCCAGTGTTCGTGTTTCCGTTTAAAATTTAAAAACGTTTGAAAAATTTGAAGATTTAAAATGTCTGAAATAGTAAAATGTTTTCGAAGAGGGTTTTTAATCAACAAATATTTAACATTATTTGCACGTTCAAATCACTTCACTGAACCCGAAGCATCTAACTTCAACCTTCTTTACGATCATGTAGTTAACGGGCAATATGTAGGGTGGTTTTTCAGAAAGGGGTTGTAAAAAAAAGTTGATGTGCAAAATAAGTGGAAGTGTCCAAGGCCGGGTTGGATGGGGCTCTGAGCAACCTGATCCAGTGGGTGGCATCCCTGCCCATGGCAGGGAGGTGGGAACGACATGATCTTTAAGGTGCCTTCCGACCCCAACCATTCTGTGATTGCTGTTATTTCTCTTACATGATCCTTATGTTTTTTGGTTCATTATTTCCAATATAAATAACTTAGAACATTTCAGAGGCATTCCATAGATTCAGGAATCATACTCTCAGAAAAAGCAAAGAGGTGTTTAAAAATGGTGTGCAGTGAAAATGCATGCTGGTACCACAAACAGTGATTGAGGTTGGCACAATACTGAAATTAAAGGTAGGAAGGCAGAATGTCTTTCTAGAATAAATTGAAAGGTCTGATAATATTAATATCAAAATAGATTTTGAGTATATAAGTCCTGATTTTGTTTGGTGCTTAAAAATTTGGTTGACATTAGACACTAATGCCATTGCTTAGTGGGACACTAAGTTGGTAGTAAAGTGAAAATGTATTTCTCATGTGCTTTCAAGTGGAGCTGAAGGAGTACACTATTCTACTTTATTACATGAATGACAATCGTTTAACTTAATTTTTCAGTGTTTTGTCAGCTGTTTCATCAGTCAGCTTTTAATTTAGAAAGGCTTCTCTTGTAGGCTGCCTTTTAATCCAATTTAAAATTACAACTCTGATGTGTGCTACTAGGAGACAGGGAAAACAGGGATAAGAAATACAGTTCTCTGAGTTTCACTTGGTCTGTTTTTATGCTGACTTAGGGGAAATAGTTCTCCTCCCATGTGGGTTATCTGTTCCCAACCTCACTCTCTGTGTAGTTGTGTAGCAAAGTAAATTTTGAAATTCATCTAGTTAAATACTAGCTTAGCAAAAAAGGAAAATAAAATTTTTCAGTAAGATCAGTTTGCTTAGCTGGGTTAATATGCAGTTCCAGGAACATCTGGGCACAAATAAGGGTAAAGAAATACATAGATGGGGGCCGTGCTTTTAGGACTGTTGTTTAGGAATAGTGTGGGAATGGCCCTTCCCACGTGTGGAGTAACTATCCTTTCCTCATGTGGAGTGGGCAATGCAGCAGGTGAGATTTATTTCAAAATAAATTGACCTTGAAACTATTGTTTTATTTTTCTGTGTGAGATTGTTGAAAATCTTTTCAACATGTTTTTCCTCAAGCAAGAATGAAAAGCAGATGTTAAGGTTCTGGTTGATCACTAGCCTTTAACTTCCTTGTTAAATAGTGCAATATAAACCTAGAATTAGAAAAGAAAATGAGAAAAGCTGTGAAAGCTCTTGCTTGGCTCAGGTTGTGCCAAATAAGGACTTCACCAGCATGTCTGATCAGGAGACAATGAGCACCATGATTGCTGATGGTCCCTTCCAACTCAGAATATTCTGTGATTCTGTGACAATTTCTTCCATAAATGTGCTTCTAACTTTGTACAGCAAACAGCAGTGTGGTGCTTGATTATCTTTACAAGCTTTAATGAACTAGCTATAGTACTGGAGAAATTCAGTTATAACAGCCTGGGGCTCCAGGGGAGCTAATTTACTCCCTAGATAACGTGTTAAAACGGGTTGGGTGGAGCTCGGGACTGCTCTGTCTTGGCAGCTTCTGGAACAGAACTGGTGTTTAACTGGTGGCTCTGTTAAAGCCAGTGCCAGTATCACTTTGTGTGGGTACACATTCCACAGGGCTGTGCTGTCCCTTCTCTGAGGGCACACAGGCTGCATCCACCCACTTTGGGATAACCAGAGGATTTTGTATGCTAAGGTTTAGTCCCGTGCTTTCATACTACTCCAGCTGATGTATGTAGAGTGATTTATACAGAGCTAAGTGTGAACTCATAGTTGGTGATTTATGCTTTCTAAATTAACTGTGTGTACTTAAGCAAGTGCAGAATCTCTTCAGAGTCAGGTTATGCACCTTTGCAAAATAATCAACATATTATTGAAATAGATGAAGTGTTTATTTAATACTGTCTGGAGCAAAAACATTACAAAAATTACTATACAGTTTTCAAATCTAGGCCTAAATTTAGTCTCCAAAATCATTTAGACTTTTAAAAGAAGACAACAGTTCAAAATCCCAAACTGTCTTTAAATGCAGCATTTCTTTTATATCAGCACACTCTTTATTTCCATAAGAATCTCAAATGAATTCAAAAACATAACTTTGGGTACTTGTAAGTACCATCAGATACTTGGTATGACTTGAAGTACTAATTTTTTTGAGGGGCAACCTTCAGAGAACTACAAATGTTTATAAATGGTTTGGAATGGAAGCTGCAGTGAAATAAAGGCTCTTACGTGGTGCTGTGTGGTTTTTTGGATGTATGGAACATCACAGAAATTCAGTTTCATTAAAAAAAACAAAAAAAACCCGCTGCCAAACCCAAACTGGGTCAGCCTGAAAGAGACGCCCGTGGAGACCAGATGGAGACTCCTGAAATAGGCAATTATGTGGTTGAAGGTGCATTAATAAATAGAAATATGGAGAACACTTAATTTTTAGTAGTGTTCTCTCTGTATGTGTCACACTCCCAGGTTGTTTTTATATTTTTTAATCAATTTTCTGTTAAGCCGAATCAGAAATCTTAGAGAAACGAGTAATAGGCCATAAGCTGTCAATGTTTAGATAATTTTTCCTTACAATATTTCTAAACAGAGGGCAAGGAGAGTATACCAAGTGACTTTGAGTAGCCAATATAAGCAATATTTTTGCCTTTCAAGTGATTGAGGAGGAAAAAAACCAATTTGGATATTATGAGAGTGAGATTGGTTGGAAGTGTCCTTGGTTGATGGAGACTGATATATATAAATCAATTTAAAAAGCCACTCAGTGAAAAGATTATGATTTGTTGAAATTACTGAAATATGTATTTGAAATCATTTGCGTGTGTAGCTTTAATGAGTCGGTGAATTTACTTATTAGTATTTATTATTGATAATTGAATGTTTGTATTCTAGGTGAAATTTGGAAATACAACATTTAAGACAGATGTGTATCCCAAATCACTTAATCCTCAGTGGAATTCTGAGTGGTTCAAATTTGAAGTAAGTATTTTTTAAGAGTTTGCCTCTATCTATATAGACACTCTGGCTTAGATGCCCTTAATGAAATAATTGCATTTCAGGCAGAAAATGAGTTTTGAGCACTGAAGTGTGTTTCTACCTAAATACACACAAAGCCTTTTCAGCAATCCCATCTGCAGTTATACCTTGTTTGCTAAAGGTGTCTCGTTGGCTTTTTAGGAGTGTTTGTGAAGATAAAAGCTTGCCAGCTTGGATCCAACTCAAATGTTGTTCTGGGTAATACCAGAGAAGACAAGGGTGAGGTGAAAGTGGGGGGGAAAAATAGCATGGATTGGGCTTTCAGATCTGGGTACAGGTATTCTTGTATTTTTTTAAAATTTGGGGTAAGGAAAGTTAATTAGTATTTGAAATGTTACCTTGGGTTGCATGGATGATGCACTTGACAAAGAAGAAAATGGAAAATTCCTGTGAGAAGATTACAGAATAAAGAGCTTGGACAACAATTACTGGACACTTTCTCTTCCCGTTTCCTTATGTAATAATGAGGGCACTCTGCTTTTTCCTGTAATTGCTTGTTGCTTTCCAGGATCTAATTTGTTGATGTCCTTTGACACTGTGCCCTGAACAAGCATTTACATGTTCTTTTTTGGTTTTTTTTACTACATTTTATTTATTAAATAAAAAAATAAAAAGGTATTTAGAATAAATTAATTGATAAAACATTTGAATATACGTAATGGTTCATTTACAGTGTTCTCAGATAATATCACAGGATGAACATGGTTGTAAATACATGCAAGTGATGTAGTAGCTGATAATTTTTAAAACATTTTAGAGCAAATATAAAATAGTAAGGATGAATAGATTATTAATCAACATGGAATGCATGATTAAGAGCATCTCTTAATCAGCAGCACATGTTGATTAAGAAAGTAGTACTGTGGTGTTGAAATTCAGTCAGTTTTCCTTTTTTTCATCTTTCAGTTCCTGGGCTCAGTTTTGTGGGGAAGGCAGAAAGAGAACTCCTTCTCTGCATGCAGAAAGAGTTTTTCTGACAATAACAGATGTCTCAAAATTCGTCCTTTTGCATGGAAAAATGGATATGGGAAAGACAAGAGACAAACAGCAACACTGAGAAAATAATAAAAAAAAAAGAATCCCACATTTCAGAGAGTGGAAAAGCACTTAACTGCTTAAGACATCCTAAGTGTGTGCACATGTGTGTAGTTTAATCTTTTTTACAAGGCTACATGTTACAATTCTGCAAACACTTACATGAGTCATCCCATTGCATTCAGCAAACCTGGTTCTTGGTTTGTAACATCCAGCACAAAAAGTTGTACAAGGTCTGTCTTTGTCCTAAAAAATAGTCAAGGTATCTGCAGGTGGATTATTGCACTTATTTGGGAAATTACCTGTCTGAAATTACTGGATTTTTACAGCAGTTTAAAATGTCTTAAAATGTCTTAAAATGTCTTCTTTTAAGCCACTCACCAGTGGTGAAAGCACCACTAATCATAACATCAGGGTATAATAGTTGTCTGGGATATTTGATCTTAAATTTTAATTTTTTTATTTTTTAAATTTCAAAGTGTGTATTGGGGAGATAGGTGGAGACAATCTAGAGAGTGGAATTTTGATATATATAATCACCATAATCTTGCATTTTTTTGTTCTTCTCCCAGTGATAACTCTCTGTTTCCAGGATCTCACCAGTCTCTGAAGGGTAAAATCGAAATAAGTGAATGTGTTGTTTAGCTCCAGGAAACTGAAATTCCACATTTATCTCTGCCAGGTCACTGTTCATAACTAACTCTCCCCTCTTCTGTGTTTGTTTTTCAGCAGTCTTTCCCTGCACTTTTTTTAAATACTCAGATTCCATGTTAATATTTGTTTCCAGGTAGATGATGAAGAGCTACAGGATGAGCCTCTCCAGATCACAGTTCTTGATCATGACACCTACAGTGCCAATGATGCCATTGGCAAAGTGTACATAGATATTGATCCTTTGCTCTATAGTGAAGCAGCTACAGTTATTTCGGGATGGTTTCCAATTTATGATACTATTCATGGTAAGATTTGCTAATTTAAAACAGTCCTGTGTGAGATGTAATCTCCTTCTTGTAATCTTCCTTTCTGTAGAACATTACAAAGAAATTTGTAATAATTTTAGCTTTGGGAGCTGGAAAGCTACTTTCCTGGCTTTTTTTTTCCCCCCTTATTTCTGGCATGAGAAGATTTCTGGCATAGGAGTCCAGATTAGTGCTTGGCAGAACGCCTTCCACAGGGCTTGTGACAAGTGGAAAAAAACCCTTCACTTGGTATTTAAAGTAGTTACTGCAAAAATAACATTTAAAAAAAAAAAGACCCAAACATACTTTTCCAGTTACCACGTGTTTAGTAAGTGAATATCATTTTGCTGAAGTTATTTGGGGTGTGCCTTCCTGGGATTTGGGATAAACTTCACTTGAGATCAAGGGACAGGATGTGACATATCTTCAACAGGATGAAATTCCTTTTCCCAGCACAGCAGTGAGTGCTCTCAGTGCTAGGTAGATTTCATGAGAATGTCTTGGAGGTATGAGAAAATGAAGTTAATGACATTTTTGCTTTTGATTTTAATGAAACAGCTTTTGTCTTGGAAAGACAAAAGTCAGTTTATACCATTTAGCTTGCTGCTTGAGTACAGGACATTTATGTGGTTGCCCTTATTACTCTCTTTGTTCATTATTCAGTGTGAATTAAGTCATCTAACTGGGTTAAAAGCTAATTATAAATCACTGTTGTGAAATTGTTTGTGGTGTTTACTAGATGGGCATCATAACTGATGCAAAGTATTTTTTATATTTAAAAGTTATATTAAAGACTTTTTGAGAAATACTGCATATGTTTTTCTTATTTATCCTTTTGTTCGGTGCACGTTTTCCTATCATACATTTTCTTTTGAAGCTAAATTAGGTGAACACTTGTCTCAGGATGTGTACAACTTGTAAGTCAGAGAGAGTTATATTTCTCTACGTTTTTCTAGATCTGTTGGCATTTCACATCTTTTTTTTTTTTATTTAAGTGGAATTGGAATCAGTATATGTTCATGCTCATAGTACTAGATTCCAATTATCTTTTCTCTTGGTAAACAGTAATTGATGCTTCCTTAAAAAAAAAAGAAATAATGTTCTTAAATTCCTATTAATTTTTTTTTTTTTTGCACCTCAACGTGATTAACTGTGAAAATATATGAACCTGAGGCAGTTACAGTAACTGAAGGCTTCTGTCTCTTGGAATTTTGGAATTAGATCTTGCTGACTTTATTGCAGTAGTATCTAAGTCGAACAACGAATCTAATGCTGTTGCTTGTGTCATATAATTATGTGATAAAGGCTTCTGAAGACACTAGAGATCAGACTCATCAAGAAGTTTAGTCCTCAATATGTCAGAACCTATAATATGTGAAGTGTTTTTGTTACTGGGTGGGGAGAAAGAAGAAAGAGCTCAAAATAGGAAAGTAAAACAAGTCAAAAATGAACGGCTGTGTGTTAGGAAATATTCCATTATTAGTAAGATTTAATTGTGGCCGAAAACTAAGATCTCTCTAAAAGGTCTGTAATACCTTATTTTTTGTATATTTCTCCTCACAGTTAAGGTATTTAGCAAACAATTAATGTGCCATTCTGGGGTTCTAGAAAGAACCATAATTTTTTCTCGCTTGGTTGAACTTTAGGGAGTGGCTTTACTGCAATTTTGAAAGTTCAGCAGAAAGAGGACGTGCACGTGCCCCCTGCAGCAGTGGGGCCATTGCAGCACCAGGAGGCTGGTGGCCTCTATTTCCCAATCCCATCTTTCTCCTAAAGCCCTGTCTGGTATGGCAGGTGTTTGAGGACTGTTGTTTACATCATTTCAGCCTCAAAGGCTTAGCAGAACTAGAAACTTCCTCTTGATTGGCACCTCTGCAGCTGATTTGAGAGGCAAGGACAGGTCTTCCCACTCCCCTGGCCCAGGCTGGAGTTGACACCTGACCTGCCAGTTCATTATAGTACATTCTTTGCAGAAAAACTGACTCAGTGGTAATAGAAACTGCATTAATTGCTGAAAATAGGGAATAATTGATAGGGATAGTTTTGTACTGATACAGCTTCTGATATCTCATGGCTTTTTATTGATAGGTATACGTGGGGAGATCAACGTGGTGGTGAAAGTAGATCTCTTCAATGACTTAAACAGATTTAGGCAGTCATCCTGTGGAGTCAAATTCTTTTGCAGTAAGTAGAGAAAAAAAAGTTTATTGGAACAGAAACTCTCTCCCCTCTCCCCCATTTTTCTTTCTTTACCTGTTCTGTCAGTCTCCCTTGTATCGCCAGATTGTTGCATAAGCTCAGTGAAGATTGCATTGAAGCCAGTAGAAAATGCATAGAATTGTTTGGTTTGCTTTTTGTTTTTAATACATTTTTACTGTCCATACTTCAAAACAACGTAAATAACTGATTTTTTTTTTAATTTATTTATTTAAGTTCCATTTCAATGTCTGTGAATACATACATAGTGTTATTTTGGGTCTATATCTTGTTAAAGAGACACAAAGTGAAAAGGTTTCATAATGGTACATGTTGTAACTGATGCACTGGACAGTTATCTTACTGGTGTTCCAGGGTCTCCCAGAACAAAGCTACTTGGGCACATCCACATTTTCACAGAAAATCACGTGGATAACTTTCTGGAATCGTTCACATCCCTTTTTCTATGTAATTTTATTTTTTCTTGTAATTCTTGGCTCATAGACTTATGTCTTACATCTTTTATATATATTTTTTAACAGCTACATCTATTCCTAAGTGTTACAGAGCAGTAATAATTCATGGATTTGTGGAAGAACTTGTAGTTAACGAAGACCCAGAATACCAGTGGATAGACCGAATTCGTACTCCAAGGGCATCAAATGAGGCCAGACAAAGACTTATTTCACTCATGTCAGGTATTAAATAATGTAGGCTGTAATGGTTATTGCTGCTTTTAAAAATATTCACCATTTAAATAACTGCCTTGCTTAAGATTGTGTGTGATTTTTGGGATTAATTATGTTTGGGTTTTTTCAGTTCACAGTGTCTTCTCTTTCTGAGGATTGTACTGTTCTAACTGATGGCCAGTATGGCTGGTTTTTTTCCCCCCTTCTTTGGTGAAGCCATCCTGCTTTTAATTTGTTGGTTGCTTGTAGCAAGGTCAAAGAAACCTGTGAAACTTTTTTGAAGATGTTCTTAACTCATATGAAGAGTATTACTAGAATTTTAACTCAAACAGTTAAAATAATGAACAACTCTACTCTCTTTAGACTACTTTGAAGTATGTGAACAAATATACACCATCTGAGATACAGTGTGCATTAATACTGGTGTTATTTATCCCATCTGATTGAAGTCAAGCTTGGGTTATTGTTCTGTGAGGAAAGGCTGAGAGAGCTGGGATTGTTCAGCCTGGAGAAGACTTTGTAGTGGCCTAATTGTAGCCTTCCAGTACCCAGGAAAGATGGAGATGGATTATTTACCGGGGCCAAGAGTTACAGGAAAAGGGGGCATGGTATCAAACTGAGAGTAGGTTTAGATTAGATATTAGGAAGAAATTCTCTACTGGAGGCACTGGAACAGGTTGCCCAGAGAAGCTGTGGATGCCCCATCCCTGGAACTCTTCAAGGCCAGGTTGGTTGGGGCTGTCAGCAAGAGGTTGGAGCAAGATGATCTTTAAGATCCCTTCCAACCTAGGACATTCTATGTTTCTATCATTCTGATAACTGTATTGCCTTGCACTGATTCTGCAGAACATACTTACAGTTCCTGGAGAGACCAGTGATTAGAGTCAGTTGTCTCCACAGTGTCAGGTACAGAACAAAACACCCTTGTGCCCTTACTAGTTGCACACTAAGACAAGAGGCAATCAATTCAAGATGGATAATCTTGAAGGTGTAAGGAACAAAAAGAAATGAAACATAGACACCAGGATGATAGGCAGTGGTTTCAGTTCTCTGCTTGGCTCTTAATGTTGTTGTGTTTCTTGTAGATACAGCTGTGTTTTAAGAAAGGTACTAAAATAAACAGTGAGTTGAGTTTTGCAAGCATGTGTGGAGATCTTTAGTAAGTGGGGCAACATAGAAGAAAGAGATCATGGAGATGTTACTCAGTGTCTTCACTGTGAAAGCACATTTTGAGGAAATAAAGTGGAAAAAACTATTTCATAACTGACATGAAGACCCTTTTAATATAGCTTCCTGTTAATTTACAGGATTAAAATTTGCATATCTCTTGTGTTGCACAAACAGTGCAAGTGGATAAAGTAGCACATGTGGAAGTGTTCTGCTAGATTTTATTAATGGAAGTGGTTAAGAGGAATAAAACCAAAACACCTCACAGCAATACTGTTTCATGTCATGTGATAAAATGTTTCACATTGCAATCCATTACTGATGACCACACCTGGAAAATTCTGGAGAAATCTGTAACTACTGAGAGCGAACCAGGCTGTTTCACAGGTCTGTGTCATGTTATGTGTTGTTTATGTTAAAAAGAATACAGTCTTAACCTTGGCTTGGATGAAATTCCTAGCACTTTTCATTCAGCTAGGAACTTCATACACTACCTCAGTCTTCGAGATTTTTCAGGACCAGTACAGGCATGATTTCAATTAAGAAGTTTTGCAATAGTAACCTGTGCTGATAATTTTAAAATCAAACTTCAAGAAAGCAGTAGAAACCAGGGGCAGGAGTTGGGCTTTGATGATCCATGTGGGTCCCCTCCAAGTCAGGATATTCTATGATTCTGTGACCATTTCATTCCACTTGAGTTCTCAGCAGCAGTGGCATTGTTAGGGCTGTCCTTTGTGACAGTGAGGATTTTTCAGTTTGTTAACAGAGGATTTTGGAAGTCTTTAATTGTCATCATAAGAGAGATACTTTCTACCTAAGTATGACCAAAACAATCTAGCTACATAGATCCATTAAATATGTTTTTTTAAACATCCTGCTAAGTAAGCAGCAATAACACACTGTAACAGTGTGTTACAGTCAGTCTTTCAGTCCTTATGTGCAGCTAAAAGAGAAGTGGCAATCTTTTGTTTGCAGTGGGAGAGGGCAAAAAGTATGAATTAGGTTGAAATATGCTTGAATAAATTTGTAAATAAAGAAATTATAGATGCCTATCCACATAGGTGTCAAAGATGTTACATTGTTCTGAACTGTGTGAAGGAGTATTTAGAAACTTACCTGAGTTCCAGGACACATCTTGATTGTCTCTTTCTGTAAATAAACAGAAAAAGGAAAAAACTACTGAAAATAAAAAGTAGGTGGGAAAAAAACTGAAATAACATGTTATTTTGGCAATCAGAGTGGATATGGAGAAAAAAAAAAGAAAAAAAGTTATGCAAGACATTGGTATCACGCTATGTTATAGGAGGCAGAGGTTGTGACCAGCTCCTTGGCATAACTGTGTAGGATTGCATTTATTACCTGTTCTACTGACTTGGTTGGCAATTCCAAAAGCAGAGGTCAAAGACCACGAAAGAGAATAGGGGAAGTTCACTGCAATTATGAGCTCTTCACCTTTTGTTTTGTAGGTGAACTGCAAAGGAAGATTGGCTTGAAGGTGCTTGAAATGAGAGGAAATGCTGTTGTTGGTTATTTGCAGTGTTTTGATTTGGAGGGAGAGTCTGGACTGGTAGTGCGAGCCATAGGAACAGCCTGCACGTTGGATAAATTAAGTAACACATCAGCATTTTTACCTGCATGTAACTCCCCATCCAAAGAAATGAAGGAGTAAGTATGAATTAGTAGCTTGCAGGGAAACAAGTTTCACCTCTCTTCTTTTCATACTCATTCAGTTTTTTACATAACCGATGTGATTTCTTTTTTTCCCCAGAATTTGTTTTCCTTTTGTAGTTTTATTTGTCGGCAACTCAGTTTGTATTCCACAATTTTGAAATGTTTTAGGTCAGATTACTTATGTTATTTCATTAGAAGATGGAGTGGTAATCCTTACTTAAGATGACTTCTGAATTCATGTACCAACAGTATTACATATCCTTGGGTTGTCATCCACCAGTTTAACTGATCATTAGTTCTGCTTTGACTCTGTGTTTGTACAATAAACATTTCTGTGGGGGCTTCTCAGGGTATACCTTTGGTTCAAGTTTGAGTGTGTATGCTGACCATATAAGAAGATATAAATTTTGAATTCAGACAGTTCTGTCAGTGATTTAGACAATGACCCCAAAAAGGTCTCATCTTTTGTTGTGTGCTTTCCTTTTTACTGTTGCAAAACAAGTAGGACTATGGCAAAACAGGTAGACAGTGAACTTGCAGAGAAAACTTTTTTTGATGAGAGGTAGAATTTCATGATCTTTGTTGTATCTACTGCAGCACCAAACACAGTTTGAGTGCAATTTTTTGATATGCATACAGATTAATAGAAGTATACTTGCAGTCTTCTTCAAACTGTTACTACTTTATTGCTTGGATAAATTTTCTGTTTGCTAGAGCAATCCAATTTCTGGAAGGAGAAAACAGCACAAAAAATTGTCCTACATATGCTGTGTTTCTAGAGGTATTGATTAAAGTAGCCATTTTCATTAGTTTGAACTGTTGTGTCCTGGCAGTAGAAATTAGGCATTTTTTGTTGTGCAGGCATCAACTGCTCTGCAAAATACCGCAAAATGCGCTCTGACTTCTACAAATTACTGGTTTCTGTTTCAAATAATAACTTGTTTAACTTGTCTTAATTTAAAAAATTGCCATCAAAAGAACTACTGGATACAGTGCAGCATAAAATAACAGCGGTGATTTAAAAGGAAAAAAAGGTAGACCTGGTAATTATCAGCCTAAAAAGCATCCATGAATAAATCGGTAGCTTTCGCTCTGCAGCAAAATGTGGAAATTCCACCTCCCAAATTATCCCTGTTCAGCTTGGTGGTGGATACTGCCTCAGTTCAAAAAATGGGCGTGTTTCTCTAAAGCAGCAAAATCAACTAATACTTCTTATTCTTGGCTTTACTAACTTGATGCCCTGTTGCCAGAGAATCAATTATGCATTCACAAGCTAGTGCTTTAAGCTGTTCCTTTCCCTCTTTTTATTTTCATCTGGACTCTTGCATGCTAGGAATTTAAATTCTTAGAGTCTGCTTAGAGTAAGAGATCTCTTCTAGCTAAACTTCCCTGAAATCATTGATAACATAACCTTGCAACCTGTTTGTATGTATTGTTTTCTTTTCTTCCACCTTGGCCGCAAATCCTCTCAGGTCTCCGCTGGTTCATCCGCCAAGCCATGGATGCCGCTCGACTCACAACAGCCCAATTCACACTGCTACTGGCTCACGACTTACTCAGAACTTCTCTGTGTCTGTTCCCACTCTCATCTACACTGGTACGAGACTGCTCAGACTCCAGAGCTGGGGAGAGGCAGGCCACAGGCACAGTGGTCGCAAAGGGCAGGCAGGCAGGCAGTGTAGGCAGGTACCACCCATCCTTCCTCCCTCATTTTCTCACGGAGACACCTCCTGTTGTCAGTGAAGAACTGCCCAGTGTGCAGCTGCTGAAACAAAGGCAGTAGTTTGTTGGAAATGCATCGGAGTCTCTTCCACAAAGCCACGCTCTTCATTTCGTTTTAACGTGCTTGCTTCCTGAGAAATTCAGTAAAAATTAAGTTGGTGTATCTGGGAAACGTTCACTATTGTACAGTCACTGGAGAAAATCATGTTTTGATTCGAGTTCATAATTGCTTTCAAGCATAATTCTGATACAGTATTTAGGTTTTAAAGTGGTTATAGGAAGGGTCTGTGCCATTTGTGGAAGAGATGGTTTTAGAGAGCAGGTAAGTCAACCTGTGCATAAGTGAACTGTTTGTCAATATAGTTGTTCCCATAAAGATTCTCCTCTTTGCTCTGTTTTTAGCTGTGGCATGCTGCTGCTGCTATAGGATAAGGAAACGTTGGGTTTTTTTTTCCTTTAAATGCATATGTGTGTATATACATAAATGTATAAATATGTATAAACACAAATATAATTTGAAATCATTTTTTCTTTATTAAACTAACTCAAAGCATTGTGTACTTGACCAGATTTTTAAGCCATAAACTTTTCAATTTTTTTCTTTTGCATATATATATATATGATTTTTTTGTCACATCTCATGCCTTTCATTTGGCTTAATTGTTTCATTGTAGATTATCAGCATCTACCTGTAGAATGCTGAATGGGTAAAACAGCATTTCTTTGCCTCTGGCCTCATCCCCAGTCTCGCACCTAAGGAATAGCTGCTGGCCCTGCCCCAGTCCCATCCTGGTGTTTGGATCATGCTGCTGTCAGCCAGGTCCTTTGGCACAGGATTACTGAATATGTTTCCACCTTCTTCTGGCAGGATTCCTTTCAATGAAGATCCCAATCCCAATACTCATTCATCAGGACCCTCCACCCCTCTGAAAAACCAAACCTATTCCTTTTCACCTTCCAAGTCCTACAGTCGACAGTCCTCTTCTTCTGACACAGATTTGAGTTTGACACCCAAAACTGGTAAGGCGCTTCCACCCACTTTTTGTTTAATTTGTGTTTCTCTTTTTATATTTTCATTCAACCCCTTTTTGCTTTCTGGCATTTAAGTTATCAAAATGATGTGGAAATTGGAGACTTCACATAGCACACCTCAAGCTCAAAAGGGTTTCTGCAGGGCAAAAATTTCAATCCTGCCTGTATTTCCACTGTCCTGGATAACATTAAAATTACTTCTGTAACACAACTGTATTCAAGCCACAATAAAACATCTTGGAGCATTAAGGGAGTCCTAAGTAATTGCCTTTTTCGTATTTCCTCCATTTCATATCACAAATCATGGGAGTACATTTCTCACCTCAATATGTCAAGGATGGTGTTACTAAAACTATGTAGTCTTCAGGCCTCATGTGTTGTGCTATAAATATACTGCATACATTTTCTGTTTTTGAACTCCTTTTTGCAAATGCAATACTAGAAACCTAGCAGCTGCTGTCTTTTTGTTCTCTTGGTGTGTGGAAATGGCTTTACATACACAGTATACACCTTGAAAGTCACTTAAATTGCATCACAAGTAACTCCAACCATCTTCAAAAAACGTTTTCCTTTCTCCATTGGTCTGTCATAATTTTTTCAGCTTGTTGTTTCCTCCCTCCTTCTTTTTTAGTCTGTGGTTAGAATCATGTTAGTAATAATGTCAGCACAACTTCAAAGAGTGTCTGTTTACTCTCCATTATGTGACCAAGGCCCTGAATTTTGCTACCGTAGAGCAAAATATTTTGCAGAAGTGTTTATAAAAGTTTGGTTACTTTTCAAATGATGTTTTAAATTGTGGTATTTGAAGCTCAGAACATTCTTGTCTCCATCTAATTAGACAATTTTTAAGCATATTAAAGCAGATTATTCAGTTTTACTTGATAGCACCCCTTTCAAGAATTTTTCCTAGGAGATAAGTTAAATGTTGCATTCAAATGGAGTTGTATTAAATATTTTACCTGGTTTATTCCCTGGATATCTGTTAAAACTGTTCCCAATTAGGAAACTGTCTTTCTCAGTGCTATCTTCTCTGTCCCATTTTTAAAACAAACAGGCAAACAAAAGCAGTTTATTTTTTTCTGTCTTTATTTTTAAATTATGAGTGTTTTGTGGATGGTGATCACTTGTTTAAAGGACATACAGATATAACTGGGTGCTTATGATATAGAAGAACCACAAATTCATGTGTTTGGTTTACTGAATATTTGAAAACTGTTCCATTTGATCGTATTTTCCATGGTAAAGATCATTTCATGGAAAGGATTTAAATATAACATAGGTGGTCATCTTTATAGATGTAAATGTTCTCAAATTAGGAAAGTGGCAACTCAGTGTGAATTTGTTAGGGTTTTAAAGCAGCAGCCTTACATCATTGCTGGCAATATTATGGAGGTGGATGGACCCTTTTGTCTTTAGTCAGTTCATTCAGAACAGAAACAGATTGTGTAACTGGTAGCTCTTATTTTCAGGGAGTTTTCAAGTATGTGAAGATATTTTTTAGCTGTCTTTTTAGTACTAAAGCTAACTAAAGTGGGCCCAGTTTTGCTTACCAGCACTGTCTTTTTAGCAGCTTTTAACTCTGCTGCTGAAACTTTTCCCAAAAGGATTTGCTGGTTGCATATAAAGATTCCATATCTTGGTTATGATTTTGAATCTTAATAGATTAAAAGGACAGTTTAATGACAGTTTAAATGATTCTTGAGTCATTCATGTTACCTTTCACCAAAAATTTGGTGATGTGCAGAAGCTGCTCCTATAACATACTAAACTCTGTATGTTGTTTTTAAGAATTCCCTGTATATGTTTAGACCTCTGGTTTTTGTTTCCCGAGACTGTTGCTAAGTTGGAATATTTCAGTGTGAAAATAGGTGATGTTATAAGTGTTTAAAAAAAGTTAAAGAAATGTAGACTTCTCATGTGGCACTTCAAACATTATCAGATTCGAGATAACCATTACTGGATTTGGCTGATGTGAAAAATGAAGTATTTTCTGATATTTCTGCAGTATATTATATTCCTCTTTATTTCTCAGTCAGGTATTTTGTGTGTTCACATGTCTAAGATGGAGACTGATCTGGAGAAAGAGTGCAGATACCACAATTTCACAATAGGAGTTAACAAAATAGAGGAGGTTGAAACTTGGATCTGCTTAAGCATCTAGTTTTCAGTAGCTCCAAATCAGGAGAATGTTACCTTAATGTATTTTGTAAAATACAACTGTGCTTGTGTTATCCATTCTGGTCTATAAATACACATGCTGAGAAAGCTTATTTGGGTTTGAAGTTAGACTTCTGTGAGTAGTGATAGATTTTCTGCCACTGCAAATGAACAGAATCAGGCTGATGAAAAGCATGACCTATTTTAATCCAGTAATACATTTTGATGTCACATAGTATATGTTTGGAGGAAATTGAGAAGGTGGGAACTCCTTTTCTTTGTGGGAACTTAGAATTCTACAAGATCTATTACTTTAGAAAATCATAAACCAAATCCATGACCTCTCTGGAAAATAACTTTTTCTACCTAAATGATGAAAGTAATCAGATTAAGTGTGTGCAAAGACTGTGTTACTTTTATTTTACTCCAAAGTATTCGTTATCAAATTTTGTTTGAAATTTAAAATAAATGTCAGATTACCATGGCTTTTAAAAAAATGATTTCCAAAGGAAAATAATCAAGTCATGATTTTTAAAAACATGCTTCTCATTCACATTGTGGAGCTGTATTGTCATTTCATTTCTTTGTGTGTTGCAAAATAATTTAGCAGTAAGTGTCGATTCGTTTGGAGAAAACAAAAATGCTTCATTTTGATTTCTTTTGTCCGTTTCTTTAGTCATCTTCTGAATCTACATCTCTCTGTCTCTATTACTTTCCTCCACAGCACCTTCCCCACAGGGACCTAGGATTTTCCTGTTTCCCAGCTCCCCTACACTCTCTTGTGATTCCCCACATCTTAAAAAGTCCTGTCTCCTCCTCTCGGGGTCTAGCATTAAACCTCTACACTCTAGCCATGTCAGCCCAGTTGTTCTGAGGAAAAGTGTTTCTTTCACTGAAGAGCTGCTTCTGGCTGCTTCTGGTAGGATCTATCTATTATGGCCTTTTAAGCAAACTTTTAAGGAAATGTTGTTATTTGATATGGGGGCAATTAACACACAGCCTTCTATAACCCTGGTTTTGCTCAGTTAGCCTCTGAAAACTGCTGGCTACATGACTATTCATCCCATCTCTCACCTCTGCCCCAGGAGCTTGAAACAGCTTCAGAACTGCTTGTAGGATTTGAAACATGTAGCTTGTGCTACAGAACTTTCTCCTTTACTCTTGCAAAATTTCCTTTGGTAATTGGACTAAAATAATTTACCTTTTTTTTTTCAATCACCTACATTCTCTTCACTTTGTTGTTCCTGTATTTTGCATGGAGCAAATGTTCCTTGCACTTGCTCATTAATTCATTCATAGTTGGTCGAAACAATGGTTATCAGATGGCTAGCAACTCTGCTTTTTCATTTAATCTTCTAAACTAAGCCCGTATTTTTAATTTTTCTGCCCATTTTTCCATTTCACTGACATGCATTATTTTCACAGATTTAAATTAAAGAGTTGATATTACTGTTTTTTTTTTTTTTGTAGAAGCTATTTTGGTTAGTTTCTATTTTTTGAGTTTGTTTCATGTCCAGTATTTATGCTCTGTTTGTCTGTATTTATTATTGTATAGTCCCTGGCAATGATGTTTAGAATCAATGCCAAAGAGTAGAAGCAATTTAATCTTGTTTAATGGGACTATACAGATACTAATATTTTTGTTTCCTTATCCAAGAACAGCTAAAAATATTTGTTGTAAATCGTAGTATTTTTCTATCTAATTATATGGTAATGGTAGCCTAGTAACTCTTGAAAATGAATGAATTTAGGAATGATTTTACATACATTATTAAGTCTAGTATTATTTCTAGATCTCCCAGTCTTTGGTTAAAACAAATAACTGCACTTTGATGTATATTTACAGTTTTGTTGACCTTTATCAGACGCTTGATCAGAAGAAAAAGGAAACTAGCAAGGAATTGTTGTGTTAAATTAGTTACAAATTCTGCAAAAGAAAATCTTGGCTTCATTCATAACTGTTTGCACTGTGGTGTTTGTATTTCATCCTGCTCCTGACACCTTTTTGTTCTTTATCCTGTGCTTTCCTATACAACTTAAGTGTTTATTTTTGCTTTGTCGAATTAGCCCTGATGTCTTTAGAAACAAGGAATACCAATGATAGTATGACTTTAGCCATGAAATATTACTAAGAAAATCTGATTCACCAGCATTGTGTTTACTTTAGGAAAAAACACAATCTTGGTATGTGTTTGTTTTTTTTGATTTCTAACCATAGAGCACAAAATTTACTGTCATACACATAACCTGCATCTCAACACGCTCAGTTAAGGTCCTTGGGAACAGGTAATTCAGTAGCAAAGATGTCTTTGTACCTGATAAACTTTCTCTTCAGAAAAAATTCCTGTAGTGGGGGGTAGGGACGGAGATAAATCTGAAAGAAGGGAAGAGGGAATTACCCATATTATGCAAAATCGGAGTTTATCTCTTATTTTCATTTACAGATAATGTGCAGGTTATGTGTGTGCAAATATAGTAATGAAATAAGTGTGGTGGTTTTAAATGCTGAGCAGTAACCCTTGGCTTGTGTGAATGAATCAGATGAGTGAATATTTCATTGCGTAAATATTAAAGAAAATAAAAGTAATTGGTAATTTTTTGTCAAAAGTTTATATTTTAAATTAAAGGATGTGCATTGCCATTGCAATTTTCTTTTTGCTCCTAATCATGTGTTATGTAGCTACTGCTGTAATTATGTGTCCAGTCTCCTACCAGTGGTTAGGAAAGGTGATTTAGTTACTCTGAAGCTGTTAGAAAGCCAGATTTTTATTACTTTCATTTAAAAAAAAAAAAGTAATGATAGTAGTGAGAGATACTTAACTACAGAGTAATCTGGCAGAGAGCCCCTTTTTGATAGGTTATGTAGAAACCTTCTGTGAACAGCAGAGAAGGCAGATCTACATTTAAATCACAGGCAAAACTCCCAATAGCAAGAAGAAAAGTTATATGTGACAGGAAAGAAATGCAAGCCCAGATCTTCAAGTCTTTTGGAATTGTTTTTAATTCAGATTGACAGCAGAAAAAGATCTTAGATCGGGGGGGTTTGTCCAAATGCTATAAAACTACTGCTAGTCATGTGGAAACCTAGCTCTAGAATACCCCCCCAAACCCAAATTAAACTGTGATGCTCAGCATTTTTAAAATTAAAATTATGGGGATCATTTGACTGTTTTCAATGACTATTGTATTTACTTTCTAATTTAACCTTTGATTGCAAATTATAATATGTGTTTCTTTGAATGTCATTTGTACTGATACTCTTCAGGAATGGGCAGTGGGAGTGCTGGAAAAGAAGGGGGGCCATTTAAAACTCTTTTAAGACAACAGACTCAGTCAGCTCTGGAACAAAGGGTAAGGCATTTTAAACTTACATTTCTGATCTACTAAAGTGAAAATTTAGCTTGTAGTAAGTTAAATGTTTCCTGTTACTTTCTGTTTAAAAATATGGGTAATTTTTGGGTTTGAAAACTTTTTACAAATGTTGAATGTTTAGCCTTTATATACACAGATTATTTAATTTTAATGTATTACTAAAGCGTTAAGAATAGAGAAGCAATTAACTGTGAACAGCACTCAGGTGGTGTTAAGAGAAAAAGTTCTAGGAAAAACTACTGTTACTTGGTTTCTGTAAATTACTGATGCATAAGTTTAATACTTAATAAATAATGGTAAAGTTTTTACAGAAGCCAAATTCAGAAACGTTAGAACAGCTTTAAACAAGGTAAAATTCCCTTTTAGAATTGGGAAGACTTTGAGTTTTGGGAAGTAGAGTTGGTGCCTAATTTAGCCTTCATTGAAGGCTAAATGAAATGTGTGTGCATGCAGCCCTTAAATGAGAACTTAAACCTGAACTACTTGCCGAGCAAAAGAAGGGGTTTATAGATTTAAGCTTTTCCTCTGTAGGACTGAAAATGCCATCTGTCATTATACTGAATGGACTGTATAATAAAAACAGTGGGTTTAATTCTTTGTTTCTGGTTGGAATGAGTCCTTGCAACTTTGTTTATAGATTACACACTGCTCTTGTCAAAATGTTATTAGTGAGGTGTCTTGAAGGAAGAAATGTGACTATTTACCTTATCCCGAAATAAATGCAAGTTCAATTACTATTTCTGAGCGCCTCACCTACTCCCATAGAACCATGTATGTTTGTTTAAAACAAACCCACCTGCATCTGTGAAATATAAGTGAATAGCTGCTGTTTTGAGTAAGTGGATGATTCTCTTCTCATTTCTTGTGTTACCCCTTGCTAAGGGAGGATCGCCTCGTAGGTTCTGTAGACGGCGGGTACGTTGGAAATCACTGCGCGACTCTTTGTAGCCCTTTCTTCTCCTACGGGGGATTTCTAAATCATTATTTGAAGTATTTTCGTTTTTCTGCTTTGAGGCTTTGCGGATTTCTTTGTAATCTTCATTTATGTGTTTGTTTTTTTGTTTTTTTTACTATTTGTTTTGTTGTTTTTAAGAGCTCTTATCACATCAGCGTATTTTTGCTTCGTATTTTGCACGTTGATATGTTTCAGTTAAAATTTTAATTTATATATAAGTACAAATCCATGGCTTTTTGCTTTTAATGTTTTAATTTGGCAGAAGGAATGCTTTAAAAAGAGCCTTTTTTCTGTTTACCTTGGATTTTGCTGGCATTTCAGACATTTCACGGCTGATCTCTCATTTCCTTAGGAAGCTTTTTAAAGACAATAAAAATGTAAATTAAGAGCACTTAATGTATTCTTAGAGCTTGAATTATTTGCATATTATTTTGATAAGGCCTGTGTATTGTCTAGTAGAAAAATACTGTAAAATGGGATGGAAACATGTTGTCTGTTAATTGATAATGATGTAGCAAAGCATGTGGACTGTTAATTGATAAAAAAACGTTTATTCTGTCTTCTGAAAATTTCATATTGGATGTGTTTTTGCTATGGTGTTACCTCTTATTTATTTACCTTAAAATTGAATTACTTAACTAAAATGAATAACATTTATAAGTTACTTTGTCTGTTTTAATATTGTACACATAAATAGTGTACTCTAGTTACTTGTCTGGATTACTTAGGGTAGCACTTATTTGGGAAAACAAAGAATAAATCAAATATCTATAATATATTTCCACATGTATTAGTTATATCATGGAATCACAGAATGCTTTTTGGGTTGGAAGAGACCTTAAAGATCATTTTGTTCCAACCCCCTGCCTTAAAGATCATTTTGTTCCCCCAACAGGGAATCTTGCACTACACCAGGTTGCTCAAGTTCTTTTGAGTCTTATTTAGTTTATTTGGGTATATGGTACTGCTAAGGCACATTGAAACCGGTTCATTTAACTGGATGTCTCCACAGCTTTTTTTAAATAAAATGTGGTTTTAATGTATTATTTAAATAACCCTGATTAGCAAACTCTGTGCTGTTTGCAGAAGGTTAATCTTACTCGATTTCTTCCGTGAAAATACATCAGCTGTGGAAAACTCACATGTGTTGTATTGTAGGTTAATAACTTTAAGCAATTCACAGGATGCCTGTAGATGGCAAGTGTAACTATAGCACACATGCCTTTGTGTGTATTTTTAACTATGAATCAATAAGCTGTATTTCCATCAGTGGGAAAATCTGAGCTTACTCTACTCCTAAAAAATTAGCCTCTGTTTTTGTAGAAATGGCCAAATGCTGCTCTTGATGGTATTTAGTATCTCCATTGACCTCAACTTGGACAAATGCTGTTTTATTCCTCTGTATTTGCATTCTGCAAGTGCCTGAGAGATCTTTACCAGTGCCTTTTCAAAATGGGGATCTGTTGATCTTCATCTCTGAAAGGCATTGCTGGACACCTGTTGTGTCTGAGCTCTCCACCCAGAGAGCTCAGTTCTCTGGGTGATTCCTTTGGCTGAAATCCTGACTTAATCATCTTTTCTTTCCAGTGACTTCTTACCCAGCCCATCCCCTCAGTACAGTTCAAGAAAAATTGTGGGACTGTTGGGCCACCTTGTGAGATGGCACAGTAGATGTGCTTAGAATAAAAGCACATTCAACCAGGAAATTGCCAGTATTTTAGTGTGGACCAGTTCCCCACACTGGTTCAGCCCCAAAAGCTCTGTGAGCACACCTGAACATTATCTGAGGGAGTGGTTCAACCATGGGAATGAGTGAATGGCTGGAAGGGGATTGGAGAACTGCTTCAGCTGGCACTAACACCAAATGATGTGTCTGTAGCTGTGTTCCATCTGCTTTTTCGTCATTTTGTGTGTCTTTGTATGAAATGTAGTTCTAAAAAGAATACTAGCAATACATGTATGTGTGTACACAGACATTTTTAAACATTGTATTAAGCAAATATTTATGAGAATTTTATTGTAGCCTTATCAAACATCCCCCAAGTGACAACTATAAAATCTCTATGTAGTTGCAAGGATGAAACCAGTGACAGTCTTTTGGGGTCTGTGCAGTCAATGACTGTGAAGTGGCACAGTGAATTGGTATTGGTAAAATGATTGATAATCTTCAGTTGTAGCTAGGAAACTTTAAGTTCATCCTATTTTGTCACACACTGGAATACTTTGCTTAAATCACCTTGATGTAAAGATAGTCCTTTGCAAATTGTAGTAATAGAGGAGATTTATAATATGAGAACACAGCATCTGGTTCTTATGAAATCTCTGTTTTCCTGGCAGTAACTATAGATGTATAATTTTGAAGTATTACAGATTACCACATGAAATTGAGGCTGGAACTGCTATTTGAATAATATAATAATAAAACCCCCCAAACCTCTAAATGAGCTTAAAAAAGAAATGCCATCTTATGAAGCTATGGAGTTCCATCTGTGTAAGAATGGATGAGAGACTGTTAAAGGAGTCATGTCAGAATGGTTCAGTGAGTCTGATACCCAGATTTGTCTGTGGCTGGAATTCACTGATAGGACATGGGTCTAATTTCATCATGTTTTGTAATACAGACTTGCAAGTATTGATATATTGATTGAGAGAAAACCATGTCATTATTTGAGGTTTTATTCCTGATTTGTGGTGTAGGAAATCAGGCAAACTGGGAGTCTGAACACGCTAAAATTACTTGCAGTACACAGCCTTATGAAAATAAACAAAAAATGAAAGTAACTTCTGCATCTCCATATAGGTTAAAAAACATTGTATCTGCTTAAGCTTTGGAGCATGGAGTGTTTGTTCACTCCATACTGCTTTAGCATAGTTTAAGTCTGAGTATATGTATGTATATATAAAATACAAATTTTATATATAAAGCCTGTATATATATATATATAAACCTATACAAAGTATAGGCTTAATGGAATTTCATATTGGTGGCATATGCAGTAAACTTTTTTATTGATTTCTGTAGTTCTGGAAAAGGTAATAATCTGAATGGCATTAAAGTGGGATGACTATATGCAAGGGACAGAGCAGGTGTGTATGTTAGATATTTAAAGATAAGTTAGGCAAAATGAGTGTCACAGAATTCCACAGGGAGAAATATTATGAGCGTACTTGAGAATTACTGAGCAATTGCTGTTAGAGAGCCACAGTGAAATAGGCTTCTAACAAAATGTTTATGTACTGCACTTTTTCCATTTTTCAGCGTGAAAGACTTTCAGAAAAGGAGTTTAGGCTGTTATAGTCAGAGCTTTTTTGACTATTCTGGTAACTTGCAAAGCACTTTGATCTGTTAGAACCATCTGGGGGAATCTTTACTGTAATGCTCTCTAGAGATGCATTAATGCTCCTGAAGACACATTAGTTGAACAGGTTTGCAGAGTCCTATGGTGAAATCTTCCTGCTTTTTAATTGGATCATAAGACATCCCTGCAGGTTTTGGTGTTTTTTTGGGTTGCTTTTTTTGTTTTTTTTTTCTGGTTGTTGATACCATGGTCGCTGATTTTGAAAGTCTAAGCCCAACAAAAATACAGAAAACTTGAAATTTGTAGGACCTTTTAAAAGTTTTAACAGTACTTATAATAGGGACAGTAAAAATTCTGAAGTAATAATTTTTAAATTCACATTGGGTTTTAGTTTAAGAGGACTTTTCATGCCATGTATTGCTGGAAGAACCGTCATCCTCATTTAATCTGCAGCATGTATGCTGTTTAGGTAGAAGCTCAGTTGAGCTGTGCTGTTCCAAATGCTTCAAAGTATGTGAGAAAGGATTCTATCCTGTACTTTCTCTCATAAAATTATAGTATTTTATTTTTTCCATTTATCCAATTATGATTATACAAACAATGATTGCATGATTTTTCTTTTGTGTTGTTTTTGCTTCTCTGCATTTAGAATTGCTGAACACGAATTATTGCCTTTCCCCCATAAGTGTGCTATTACATATATATTAGACATTTCATAGAATGTCTCTGTAGAAAATAAAATCTTCAGTTTTGGGCTCAACTCCTTTGAATAGGACTTGTTTTTCATCACGTGTAACATGAAAAATTGCTGTTACCACTTACTTTGCCTCTTGGAGAAACCGCGTTCTTGAGTAGTTTTGGAAACTTATTAGCTCTTCATTTTACTTATGAATTGGTAAAAACTAATTAATGCAAATTAATTGGAAGTGAATTTCTTAGGTTAAAGAACTTATACTTGTATTTCAAAGACTTTTGCTTCATTCTACAAGATGGATTTTTGCTTCTTATATTTAGAGCTTGTGAGCAGAGCAGTCTATTAATATTTTTTAGGTATGTTTTCCTATAATAAGTCGTTCATCATGCTTGCAAGACTACAGTTTGTTTCACCCTGTGCTGTGGAACCAAACTGCAGTCAGTTGTAACAGTAAGACCTAAAAGTGGAAAAAAATATTTACTTTGTATGAGCTAATGAAAGTAGATTTCTGTTGTTTAGTTGCCGTGGTAAAAGTGACCAGTAGAGGCTTCGTCAACACAAGTGTGTAAAGTTTTGATTATTTATCACTCTTGTGCTAAGAAACACCTCTATGGGGGAAAAGTATTCTTACATTTTATAATACCTCTGCTTTTATGATACTCTGGGTATATCAAGGCACATGGTTACATAGTGCTCAGTAAGCCTGAAAGACCTGTTTGGCCTAAGGTAACTACTCTGCTTGTATTTCAGGGAAATTTATCGATTCATTGCATGTTTATTGGCAATCAGCAGTGGTTGGTAAGCAATCATTTGATGTTTGTTTTTAATCATAACAGGAATTTCCATTTTTTACCCTGACGACCTTTCCACCAGGCTTTCTTGTCCACGTTGGTGGCGTTGTCAGTGCACGGTCTGTGAAGCTGCTGGATCGCATCCACAATCCTGGTATGTTGACACAAGAATGACCTCCTTGCACAGGACCTGTCGTAGTGATCTCCTGCTTCTAATCTTTATAACATATCAGCATTTGGATAGATACAAATCTATCCTAACAATGTATATTAGAGGCAATATTTTTCAGGCAGTCGTTTAAGCTGGAAAAATGAGTTACTCAGAGGGTATGTTTTTAGTGAGAAATGTTTCAGCAAGTTAAAGAATATTATAGTAAAGTACTTTGAATCAGTAACTTTGCACTGAAAATTGTCTCTGAATTATTGAGGGCTTAATTAATTTTTTTACCACTTCATAGAATTTAAACTCAATGCAAATTTTCCATTCAAACACAAATTAGATGAAATGCTTGATCTTAACTATTAATGTTTTCTAATTTTCAGCTCCTTGAAATCCTTAAGGACTAATGGTTACAATTTACCTAAATACGTGGTTTTTAACCTCTTTTGATACAACCTTGACAGCTTTGTTCTGTTCTTAAAAGCCCCATACTGAACAGTACTTTAAGATTTTTATTTAATATTTACCTGGAAATCCCAGTACTAGAATGTGTATTTTGCATGTTCTAGTTCTAATGTTAGAATTAAAAGACTTTTGACTCTGAAGACTTTGTTGGTTTAGTCACTCAGACAAGATGATGAGTACTCTGTAAAAAGCTGGAGTTGACAGTGCACTTCAAAATGCAGAGGAGAGTGAAAATAGCACCTACAGTGGTTTTGCATGCACTAGTCAGGAGTAATAAAACAAAGTTTGTGCAAATGCATCTTTAAAAGCAATTGCAAAAAATAATCTTCTTTTCTTTCTTCTTCCCGTGGCCCAAGGCAAGCAATTCTCCAAGCAAGTAGGTTGTTGCTGACCTAAGGATTCAATAAACTGGCAACATGAAATAAAATACAGGACTTGATTTGAATTAAACACCCCTGCTGTAAGGGATTTTTTAAAGCATGCCACTACTCAGTATTGTTCCTTTTTTCCTATTTGTAAGATCTATTTATACAGTGAAGATGAAAAAAAAAGTCAAAGTATAATTTAAATGCAAGTCTTCCCTTTCTTTGCCACAAAGTTATTTTAGGCTGCTGTATTTTCAACAGATTTCTGATACAGATCTCTTACATGCAAAATTTACTGTATGATAAATTTATTTAAGACAAAATGGAAAAAAAAATCAGTTTTGCTCAGAAGTTTTAAAAACTAACCTCTTGCATTATGGACTCCTTTATTTTTACCAACTGACTGAAAGCAGGATAAGAAATAAGATAGAGATGCATGTTTGCACAGCTGCAGTTGTTTTTGTGGGACTTGAAAATTACTCCTGACAAGTGAATGTAAAATGTGTGATGCCTGGAACTCCGTGTATTGCAAAAGGGGGAATGAAGGCACATGACTATGAGAGGGAAGGTGAAGTAAAAAAAAGAATCTGGTTATAGTTATGATCATGAAGCATTTGAGTCAAATAAGTCTGTGAAGTATTAAAGGAAGAAAATAACCTGGCAGATGAATAAATCAGGAAAATGCAGAAGAGGAAAGAATGTTTGAAGGTGGATTGAGAACTTACAATAAGACAATAATTGCTGTACACTGTACCCTTTGGTCACCCTAGTGCTAGATTGCTATAGCATGCTCCTTTTTTCCCTTTCTCTTTCAGCCTCTTATTAACTCTGCTGTCTGTGTCTTTCCAGTTCCTGTGGATTGGTGTTGTCAATTGTGTTCTTGTTGGTAGTTTTTTTTCACTATTCTGCTCCTATAACTGATCTACTAATTTGCTGTTTTGAACTCAGCCTTTGTCGGAATTATGGGTAACACAAGATCATACAAACTGCTAGACTGGAATAGTTTCAATTCAGGTATTTTACTAGTCATTCAGTACTACATATGCTGACAGAAATTATGGCAGCTCAGTGAAGTTCTTAGAAATGCTGTAGAATATTTAGGTTAATGCTTCAAATTTAAATCTCTTTAATCATCAAATGCCTAAATGTCATGTTTTAATGTTGTTAAAGACTCTCTTTAAAATTACAAACCATTGTTTTAATATAAACTAGTATCGCTAAGAATAATTTAATATCGATCTGGAAAGCTGAATGTTCAGATATTTATTCTGTACTAGCTTTCAGCTCAGCATCCATGAAGGAAGTAATTTAGGGAAAGAGAATGGATTCTTACTTATACAGTTGGGATCATGTCAGGTGTGGATTTTTTTTTTTTTTTTGCTTTGGTTTAGTTTTTTGTTTGGTTGGGTTTGGATTTTTTTTATTTAATGGGTTTTTTTTTTGTTTATTGGTTTGATTTGGGGGAGTCTGTGGGTTAGTTTTGTTTTGTTTTGCATGAGCTTGCACGTTCTTTAACAGTGGCTGTACTTCTGTTATTTCAGGAAATTGATTCATATGTTTGTTCTAAATAATAGATGTAAAAATTGCCCAAAAGAATGAAAAATAGAGAACTATCTGTTTAAAGAGAAGGGTACCATGTAGTCCAGGATTTGTTGGTTCATAAATCTTGTATTGTAAAATGCAATCAGCTTGCAGGAATTACAGCATAATTATTTGAACTTTTAAATCACTCTAATACCTAACTTGGAAAAAGCCCCTATATTCTATTTTTTATGCAATTTTAGGGATCAAAATATATAACTTCTTTAAACAGCTGCAGAAAGAATAGATGGTTTGATGATGCAGTTTATACGAAACTTGGCAAGTTAGGGGGAGAAATAAAGACTTTTCCCCTTCACCCTCTTCCTCTGGAAAGGTGACATGCTTTGGAAGACAGGCAGGCATAACTTCTCTACACATAACATCCAAGCCAGCAGACCTTGCCAAACTTTGATGTTTTTAAAGCTGGCACAGTAAAAAAGTACAAATCTGACCTCTTGAGGGTTTGCTTCCCATGGAAACAAAACTTTCTTTCTTGGTACTTCAGTGTTGTATAATGCAGCTCTGGGTCATGCTCTAAAGTTCAGCTTAAGTTATCTTCTATACAATTTCCATGTTACAAGTAGTTCAATAATAGGTAGAGCCTAAAACTGTTGGCTCATTTTTGTGTGCCTGTCCCTTGCTACAATGAGCATTCTGTGATATTGTAATTATGAGCTTTTCTGGTTTTGTTGGTTTTCTTTGCTTGTTCTAAAGTGATAATATTTAATAATTAACTTTCAGTATGAAAATTAAATTTCAGTATGAAAAGAATATTATAAAATTCTCAGATCTATTACTGGTGTAGCATAGTCTGATCCAAGGTGTTAAAATGGGTCAAAATTTTTTGTCTTGTATGCTACCTTGAAAAGTTTGAGTTAATTATTGCTTCTTCCAGACCATGTTTAGCAGGATGTTACCATAGAAGAATTATATTAGAATAATGGAGTAATTTAGTTATGTACAGACACAAAACATGCCTTGAGCTGGGCTAGAAAGTGATCCATAATGGAAGCCTGGGAAGCCAAGTGAAAGTCGTGAATTTGTTTCTTGACAGAATATCCAAAACTGTAGTCTGATTTTTTTTTTAGAAATTGCAGGAAAAAGAAGGTATATATATATATATATATATATTTTCATGCATTTTATACCCAGAGGTGCTTGTTACCTAAAAATATTGGAGTAGAGAGGTCTAAACTAAACAGTCATTGCAGAGTTAATACCTTGCTGAGAACTGTCTGAGACACTGAGAACAGTGTTTCTGTTGCCTGACCTGTGTCAGTAGGTCTGTAGTAAGAGCTGATTAATCCTACTGATTAGGGACTGAGCAGGTTACACCCATATTCCTGGAATTGTTTCTGTTGCAGTGCTCGATGTGCTGCAGGAGAGAGAAGAAAGGAGGAAGAGAGTAAATCAGTCACTGATATGTAATAACAGAATTGCAGATTGCATCCAAGTTTGCTCTGTCCTAGACTGGAATAATGAATATCCTGTGCAGATCTGTCACTGAGAAACCAGAGGAGAACATTTCTATTCATCTCCACCTTCTAGAGCTTTATTGCTAACTCTGTCATTATTGGCTAATTCTTGGCCTAAAGGAGAGTGGGGATTTATACAGCTTAGGGAAAACAGTGCTACATCTTTACATGTAAGCAAGAATGTAATCACAACCATAAGTGGGCTAAAATTATTTTCCTTTCTGAAAATGTTCAGGCTTCATTTCAGCTACCTGCCTAGCATAGAAGGATATTTCTTTTTTCTTTTTTCTTTTTTTTTTGCAAATGGCAAGGAGGTTGGTTTAATTTTGTGTAAGATACAACAGGAACATCTGAAAAGTCAGAGATTTGAAGGTGCTTGAAATGGAAGTACAGACATGGAAGTAAAAACTGACTATTTCATTAATGGAAAAGAAGCTGCTTAAACATCTGGGAATTGCATACAGTTTGATGACAGAATTGGCTAAAAGTTTGTAAAATACAAAAAGGGCACATAATACAGTGGAAGATACACACTGGTGCTGTCTATGAAAAAGAATGTTAAGGATATACTATAAATATAAAACTGTTGAAGGAATCCTGGATCCTGAAGACTGGATCTTGGTTAAAAGTTTGCTCTGAGGTTAAATACAGAGCAGAAAGGTTCCTTAGGCAGTGCAAGAGCTTGTTGAATAGAGGCTGCTTTTCCATATGGCTGTTTGATAGCACCAACATATACAGTATTCTCACACAGTTAAATTTTAAACTCATCTAGGAAGCTGCTCCAGTAGTTCTTCAGCTCCAGTAGTCAGAAACATGGAAGGATAAAAGATTGTTAATGAAATTCCTAAGCATCTCCTGAGCTCCTTGCGTGATATCCAGTCTCGCTACTGGAGTGTGAAATTCTCCGGAGCTTGTTTTGTGTGTGAGGAAATGCAAGAGGAAAGCTTGGAGACGCTTTGGTTCTGTAACTGGATGTTTTTCTTTCACAAGAAAAAAACACAAACATCAGTGAATGCACAAATTACATTTTGTGCTTCTGTCTGGGGTGTAAATGTGGCCGATCTGTAAGAACACAGTGGAAAATGTCAGAATGTTGATGTTAGTGTCT